ACAGGTTTAAGAGACTTGCCTAGGGTCACATAGCTAGTAGATGTCTGAGGACTCAGGAAGTTGTGTCTTCCTGACTTCAGGTCTGTTACTGTATCCACTGTGCCACGTAGCTGCATTTTACACATCATGCATATTATATGTATTATTTAATACATATGTAAATATATAAAATGCATAAATATGATATAATATATTATATAGACAGTATATATATTATATACATTATGTATTTATATTATACATCATACATACTAGACATTACATATAACATATTATATATAACATGATGCATTATCTAATTATGTATTATATATAATGTAATATGCATTATATAATTATGTCATATATAATATCTATAATATATTATATATGCATCCATAATATATAAACACATGTTTCCTCTCATTTGATCTTCATAACAATTCTGCATTGTATGTGCTGTTATACTCATTATACAGAGGAGGAAACTGAGGCTGAGAGGGGTTGAATGATTTGCCCAGGGTCTCACACCTATTGAGTCAGGAATGACAGTTCTTTCTGACTCTAAATCAGTAGTGTGTTTGAGCCAGCTCAGGTAGACTTGCAAGACCTGATTATTAAATTTTTAGTATGAGCATCTACAGAAGTTCTCAAACACTAAAAGTCAGGGCTTGGTTTCTTAATTTGTTGGTTGTCTAGACTTAAGGAAGTGAAGGAAAAAATGTTAATAATGGAGATTAATCTTAAAAGTGTGTTAGTGTACTCTGCTCCACCCCCCAACCTGAGAGCCAGCTATTAAACATTTACCAGAATACCACTGAAATCAGGAGTCTATCCCTTATGCCACCTGTTACTTTCCGTACATGGGGTACTAAGATGAGGTGCAGTATACAATGTGGTACAGTGGAAAGAATACTGGATTTAGAATCAGAGAACCTGAGTTTGGGTCCTATGTGACAGTAGACATATTACTTAACATTTCTGAACCTCAGTTTCCTCATCTGTAAAACAAAGGGGTTGGATGAGATGATTTCTGAGGTCTCTCAACTCAAAGTAAGTAATATTAAGATATTATGATCCTATTGATACACTGAAGACACTTGCTACCTGTCGATCTTGGGCAAGTCATTCAACTACCCTGATCCTCAGTTTCTTCATTTGTAAAATGGGAATAAAAATACCTGAAGCCCCTAGTTCCCAAGATTGTTGTGAGGATCAATTGATATAATTCACATAAAGCACTTTGCAGGCCTTAAAGTATTATATAAATGTCAATTATTATCATCCCTTTTCTAAGTGCTTTCTACCTCTAGATCAATTCCCAGTTCATTAGTAGCTTTATTAATGTACAGAGAAAATAAAGGAATTGAAATGTTCTTTGGCAAACATCCCTGTTTTAAGTAAAACACTACAGTTGTCAAGGTCATTCAGGTGCATAGATATCACAGAAAAAAAATTAATAAGGGTGTGTAGCATAGGCATGTAAAGAGTGCTCTGGGCAACTCTATTGCACATAGACTATGAGAAATTCAAGAAGAGCATAGTCAATTGGAGGCAGCACAATAGAGTGGCAAGAACAACAGATATGGAGTGAGAGGACAGGATTCAAATTCCATGTCTTTTTTGCCCAATAAAATCAGAGGTGAAACAAGGATGTCTATCATCCCCACTTTTTGGCTAGAATAGTACTAGAAATGCCAGCAGAAAATAGAAACTGAGGGAGTAAACAGAGGTCAAGCAGAAACAGAACTATAAATTATTTTTCAATGATGCACTTCAAGAATCCTAGAGAATTAATGTAAAAAGTTCATTGATTTGAATGCCATATCTGCCACTTATTACCTGTGTGACTATGGGTGAGTCATTTAGGAAACCTGGACCTCAATTTCCATATCTGTAAAATGAAGAGTGGAATTAAAGGCCTCTGAAGTCTCTTCGATCTTTAGGTTTGTGAATTGTGATCCAATGGCCATGAGTCTCTGTGAACAGGTTGAAATGTCACCAGAATTTGAAAATATCTTCCATCTTGTGAGGGAATTAAGGAATCAATGAACTGTTGCTATTTGCTATTGTTGACTTTTTTTTTAGGTGATTGTAATATAAGTATTCTTGTGTTTTTTTAAAAATAATTTTTGTTAACATTTTAAGTTCCAAACAGTCTCTTCTCTCCCTCCCCAGCCCACCATTTCACACACACACACACACAAACTGCATTTTTATATATATGTAAAATCATACTATGCATCCTTCTATTTATCAGTACTTTCTTAGGAGGTGGATAGCCTCATAGGTTTTGATTTAAGTATTTATAATAGCCAGAATAACTTAGTTGTTCACAGTTATTCTCCTAACAATATTGATGTTGTTGTATATAATGCTCTCTTGGTTCTGCTCATTTCATTCTTCATTATTTAATGAAATTCTTTCCATCTTTTTACCTAAAATCAGCCTGCTCATCATTTCTTCCAGCACAGTAATATTCCATCACAATCATATACCACAACTGGTTTAGCTACTCCCAAATTGATAGGCATCCTTTTAATTTCCAGTTCTTTGCCATCATAAAGAGAGCTGCTATAATATTTTAGAATATATAGGTTATTTTCCTTTTTCCCTGATCACCTTGGGAAATACACCTAATAGTGATATTTATGGGTCAAAGGGTGTACACAATTTAAAACTCTTTGGGCATAATTCCAGATTGCTTTTCAAAATGGTTGGATCAGTTTACAGTTCCACCAATAGTGTATTAGCATCCCAATTTTTCCACATCCTCTCCAACATTTGTCATTTTCCTCTTCTATCATTTTAGCCAATCTGATAGGTATGAGATGATATCTCAAAGTTGTTTTAATTTGCTTTTCTCCTATTAGTAATGATTGAGCACATTTTTTCACATGACTATATAGAGCTTTGATTTCTTTGTTAGAAAACTGCCTGTTCATATCCTTAGACCATTTATCAATTGAGGAATGACTCATATTCTTATAAATTTGACAGAGTTCTCCATATATTTGAGATATGTGACCTTTATCCAGGAAACTGTCTATAAAAATTTTCCCAATTGTCAGCTTTCCTTTTAATCTTGGCTGCATTGGTTTTATTTGGACAAGCCCTTTTTAATTTAATGTAATCAAAATTATACATTTTATACCTTACAGTGCTCTCTATCTCTTGTTTATTCTTTAATTATTCTCCTATTCATATATCTGATTGGTAATATGTTCCCTGTTCTTCTAATTTACTTATGATAGCTCCCTTTAAATCTACATCATGTAACCATTTTGACTTTATCTTGATAAACAGTATAAAATATTGATCTATACTCAATTTCTGCCAGACTGCTTTCTAGTTTTCCCAACAATTTTTTGAACAAATAGTGAATTCTTATCCCACAAGCTTAAATCTTTACATTTATCCAATATAGGTTATTACAATCATTTATTATTGTGTATTGTATGTCTACTCTGTTCCACTGATCCATCCTTCTATTTCTTAGTCACTACCAGAGAGTTTTAATAATTACCACTTTAGGATCAGGTACTGCTAAAACTCCTTTCTTTATTTTTTTTCATTAATTTTTTTTATATTCTTGACCCTTTATTCTTCCAAATGAATTTTTTGTTATTTTTTCTAGACCAATAATTTTTTTTGGTAATTTAATTGGGATAGCATTGCATAAGTAGATTAGTTTAGGTAGAATTGTCATTTTTATTATATTGGCTCTGTCCACACATGAACAATTAATATTTTTCTGGTTATTTAAATCTGATTTTATTTGTGTAAAAAGTGTTTTATAATCATGTTCATGTAGTTCCTGGGTTTGTCTTGACAGGTGTACTCTCAGATATTTTATGCTGTCTATAGTTATTTTAAATGGGGTATTTCTTACTATCTCTTCTTTCAGAGTTTTGTGGGTGACATATAGAAATGCTGATGATTTATGTGGATTTATTTTATTTCCTCTTACTTTGCTAAAATTAGTAATTATTCCAGCTAGCTTTTTAGTTGAATCTCTAGGATTTTCCAAGTATATCATCATATCATCTGCAAAAAGAAATAGTTTTATTACATCATTGCCCTCATTTTTGTTAAAGAAGGAAGACTGTATGAATGTCTTGTTTCCCCTCCCCTTCTCTGGATGAAATACCTGGCCACTCCTTTATTGCATTTTCATGTGTCACTTTGCAAATTGTACATCATTTGGCTTGGTTCAAAATATATTAAGACAATTGTATGATCAAAGAATTTCAGAGCTGGAGGCATAGAGGTCATCTTTTCTAACCCCTGCCTGAGTAGGAATTCCTTCTATGACATCCCTGTCAATGGTCATCCAGCTTCAGGTTGCCAATAGGAGGCCCATTAATCTCTAAGGTTCCCATTCTAATTATTTTTAAACATTTTTTGGTACACATCATTCAACAGACACTTTCCAATAAACACCCAAACAAAACCTCCTACAAATTACATTTCTCAAACACACTTAAGCAAAATTGCCTAATAGCATGACTATAATTGATGGCATATGTCACTTTTCACTTCAGAAGCTTACTAATTATTAACAGGAAAGAGGTAGACTTTGGCTTAGATAGATTAGTACTCAGTGCATTGTGGGATGTATTTGACCCTAATTTTATTGCCTTTTATTGTTAGTTTTATTTACATTGTTGAAGGCTTTGTATACAACATTCTTTTAATTCTTTTCTCCAATGTGTATCACTGCATGCAGGTCTTTTCATGTTTCTCTAAAGTCTTCATGTTTATCATTTGTCATTGCACAGTAATATTCCATTATACTCATCTGCTACAATTTATTCAGCTATTCTCCAATTCTCATAATGTGTTTCTATTTTTTTTTGTTATCACAGTCTTATTATGGATATTTCCCTACAGTAGTCTTGCTGTGAATAACTTTCTTGGGGTGGAATCTCTGGGTCAAAGGACATTGGATAATTTAGTAATTTTTCTTGCATATTATTTTCCAGAATGTTCGCATAAATTTTCATCTTTACTAGCAGTTAAAGCCTATGGAATTCTTCATAAATTGGTGTGTCATCTTTTTGAAGAGTCCATGTTAATCCACTTTGTACCAATCCAATTTGAGAATATGTGTTGCTGTGGTGAATACTGGATTCCACTTTTTGCTGCTGTAATTGCTAAGATTTACCTTAAATGGGGCCTCAATTTGCCTCTCTGGGACTTCTACTTCTTGCTCCTAATACTGCTTACTGGGGTCCAGTTGAATAAATCTAACCTCTCTTCCACATTTTTATTGGAAATTATTACATTATTTGAAATAACCTAAAAATAGCTGTTATGACTCTCCTAAATCTTCCCTAAAATAAATAACCCTGTCCACCCTCAATACCCCACCCAGAATATGTTCTAGTTTATCAATGTCCTTGTTAAAATATAGTACTCAAAATTGAAAATGATACTTGCGATGTAGTCTAAATAAGGAAGAATAGGCAGGATGTTCACCTCTTATGCATTCTTTTACTCTGCTTCTCTAAATACAGTCCAATGTCACATTAGTTTTTTGTATCACATTGTTGACTCATATTGAGCCTGCAGTATATTAAAAATGCCAGAACTTTTTCATAAGAGTGGTTTTCTAGACAGGTTTGCTCCATCTTGCACTTGGACAATTTTTTTTGGTGGTGGTGGGGATTGGGAGGAAGAGTATAAGACTTTAAACTTATCTCTATTAAATTTCAACTTATAATATTTGACCTATCATCTTTGTTGAGATCTTTTTAGGTCTTAAGTTAACCCATTTGTTAAATATTCTTTCCACATTATATCATTCAAAAATTTGAGGCGAGAGAAAGAGAGAGTGAGTGAGAGAGAGAGAGAGAGAGAGAGAGAGAGAGAGAGAGAGAGAGAGAATAATTACCTGATAGTTGAACTTCTATCACCATTATGTCTCTGAGCCAGGTTTGTCATCTGTTTCCCAAATTCTTCAACTATGTCCTCTTCTGGTCTGGTGGTCTGTAGTATACAGCCACAATAATATTGTTTCTGTTTCTCCCACCATACTTCCAAACTGTGTTTCATGATTTTCCTCACATATTAATATTTTTAAAATATAATCATGCTACTTCATCATCACTTTGTTTTGTGCCTTAAATTTAAATAAGTTACAAATAACCCTTCATTGCTATAGTCTAGTCATTCTACCAGGTGTTAGTTATACATTTGAGGTTGAATTTATCTCCTTTCCCTCTCTGAAAATTCCCTCCATTTTCTATTATGATATTGAAATCCTCTTCATTTATGGATATGATATTTCATGATAAGTTCTTGGGTCCATCCTTGGTCTTTAATTTGATGTAGACTTCTTGGGCTTTGATTCTCTCCAATCTCTAAAACTACAGGTTACAGCAAATTTAGGGATTTTGCTACCCTAAGAATAACAACCCAGACTTACATTACTTAAAGTTAACTTCAAATTCCCCTCCCTTCTTCAAATTTTTCTTTACTTTCCATGAAGGAAGCAAGGGATTTCTGAGGCAGATGTGCTCCTGTGTACATTGCAGAAATAATGGTGAGAAAAGCAATGCTTTGGCCAGAATTGAACAAACATCTAATTGGCAGCATTCTTTCCATTCTTTCCATGTGCAGAGGAGACAGAGAACAGCTGCTTCTACAGAGTATAGTCATTCATTCATTCAATGAACATTTATTAAATGCCTGGTTATGAATATTAAAGAATTATCATGATATGAAGCTTGTTTCAAGCTTGATGATTTCTCATTGAACTTGATACAGTCTTTGAATAAAATTAATTTTTGCAGGTGGAATTCTTATAGACTAATAAGGCTGGAAGGAAACTCAGAGAATTATTCCTTCCATCCCCCTAGATTCAGGCATGCTCACATTCACACAATTTCAGATAGATGATGATTTATATTTCAATGGATGTGTGATCTCATAAATGTGGGAACCATTTCTAATGGGACAAAAAAACATCCCTCTATCCCTGCCCAACCTTTGCAGCTCTTGTCCATGTTTTTCCATGAAACTGACAAAAAATGTGCCAAGATCTTCTGTTTTGATTTCTGATTTTATGTGAAACCAATGGAGTACAAAGCTGTATAGTGCCTGGCCCATGGTACATGCTTAATAAATGCTTATTGATTTAATGTTATTTATTCCTTATTCTTGCTATAAGACCTGTTCATCTTTTTTTTGTCATTTAGTGACATCTTTTATACCAAATTTCAATATGTTATGGACAAGCTATACAGGGTGTCCATTCAACTGCATGTCATGGTCTAATAAATTATTATTTTCATCTGCTTGTTTTTAATCTTATATAGATGATTAGGCAAGAAAGGGAAGCCAAAATAGGGTGATATTTTGGGGGAATACTTAGGGGCAGAGGAACTAGAGGCCATAGTAAGATCACTAGGTTTAGGAGAAGTGAGGTATAGGGAGTGATGAAATAATCAGAGCATGGAGAACACCTCTAACAGATGTTGAGATCTGTGATAGAAACATGCTAATATGTAGCTGAAGTGAGGAGAATCAGGCTGTTGGAGTTAAATAGGCTGAGAAAATGAGAGATCAGTGGGCTAGAAAGATCACCAATATGAATATTGAAATCCACAAAATTGATGGCTAGGTGTGAGGTAGAGAGAAATACTTTGTACCAGCTAACTATTACAATGCACTGGAAAGATAAAGAAAATGTTCGGCAAAGAAGTAACAGATATCTACAAGTATTGATAGTTTGTGATAGATATGGATGGAATGGATCTCAAAAAATGAAAAGTCATTGAGAGATGGACATAGAGGGATGGGCTAGAATTGGATGAACAAGGTATGTGTGGTTTTATATTCCTGATCTTATAATTGAAGCAAGAATGGGAGGTAGAGGGATAGAGGATGGAGTGAATAGTGGAGAGGGTTGGCTCTGAAGAACATGGTATCCTCATGGGACAGGTAGGTGTATATTAAAACAAAGAGATGGAAGCATTGTTTGCTGAAAAATTAAAAGGCTTAATGGAGTTTGTTGACTACAAGTTGATAATTCTAAAGAGCCATATAGTATGGTTATATGGAAATCAAGATTGGGAGTAGGAGGAGGAATAAAGAATAAGCAAATGGTCAGTAATGTCAGTTAGTGAAGAAGTCCAAAAGAATAAGAGGAATTCATTCAAGTAAATGAAAGGCTGTTATAAATAGTATGGGAATCTGCTCTTCTCTACCTAGAGAGAGGATAGAATAAGAGGAAATGGTTTTAAACTGCAGAACATAAAATTTAAATTAAATACAAAAAGAAGTTTCCTAATAAGGAAGGATGTTTTGGTTTCACTCCTCTGGAGGTCTTTTAAAATAAAATAAATCACCATTTCCTGTGATATTTGGTCATCTTGTACTGTAGTGCTCAAAATAGGTATTTGTAAGGTCATCATGTAAAAAATTATGTGCCAATATCTGCGGCTAAGAATGAGGAAGTAGAGAAATTCTATAAAGATCTGGATAAGACCCTCTGAATCAAATCAGTGAGAACTTTGATACTTGGTAACTTTCAATTGAAATTTCAATTGAAATAGTAGGCATAAAGGAAGATAGCAAAAAAAGTTAGAAATTACGATTCATGAATAAAAAATAAAAGAAATGTATAGACTGCACATAACTCACATACTCACTTTCCAGTCTCCTTGATATCTCTGTAGCATTTAACACTATGGATAACTCTCTTTACCTAGATGTACTCCCCCTTCTCCTCCCCCTCTTTTTGGTGACTTTGCTTTCTTGTTTTTCTTTTTACTTATATGACCATTCCTCAATTTCCTGGATTATCATCTATAGCCTGATTTCTCATGCAGATGTACCTCAAAACTCTATGCATGGCACTCTTCTCTCTCTCTCCACACATACCCACTCTTAGCTAATCTTGAGTAAATTAGGAAATATATCTACCTCACATTCTTATCCCCTCAAACAATTACCATGGTCAAAGATCTGGAAACAGATTGAAAATAGAAGTAATAGGTAATATCTTGCTCCCTATTATCTCTTTCTTAACTTTCTCAAAGGAGGTAGCATTTCTCAATCATGCCAGAAATGGGTCTTTTTCTACACAAAAGTAGAAATCTGAAAAGCTATTTTTGAAGAAGGTGTCACATCACCATCCTAATCTGGTTGGAGATTTGGAGGACTCTATTTTATTCTCATCTTCAGCTATGTGTCAAGGATACCCTTCCACATATCTCTTTTGGATATGTAAATCACATCCCTGAAATTTCTTTTTTCCTCCTTCTCTAGTGTGGATATTGAATATCTTATAACCACTCATTTAGAGAGATCTTTGCTACCAAAAATAGGAACTTAAACAAGCTATAATGAATTACCCTAATTTGGCATGGCAACTCATCTTCTGCCACCCTGGCTATGAATAAAAGGCATCTCATGTCTGGAATGTACATCCCCTCTCAGCTCCAGTTAGTAGATTTGCTATCTTCCTTTCAAACACAGCTCAGTTGCTATATTCTACACGAAATCTGTCTGTTTCCTTTGAATGTACTTTAGTTATATACATTGCATCCCTCTAGTAGACTACAGGCTTTTTGAGGGCAGGGGTGTTTTAAAATTTGTCTTTGTATACCTAGCACCTACTAGAGTACCTTGCATGTTGTAGATGTTTATTAAACATTTGTTGTATTGGCTATTGCAGGCAAAGGTAATAGTGTGAACAAAGGTAGAGAAGTGTGAGAGGGCAGTGCACATTCAATGGTCAGAGATTTGGTGGAACATTAACATCTCTACAGGAGAGTAATATGAGAAAGAACTGAAGAGTTAGGATTGGACCTTCTTGTTGAAGGTTTGAATACCCAGGCAGAAGAGTTTGAACTTTGTTAGCGTGAGAATAACATGACTAGAGAAAGAAATTATTCTAGCAACAATTTTTAGGATAAATTAGGAGGTAAATGTTTGTGTGTGTTTGTGTGTGCATGTGTGGAGGTAGAAATGGAAGGGAGAAGATTCATATGAAAGCTCTTAGAGTAGCTCAGGGAGAGGGTAAAGAGGATTTTTCCTAGAGTAATGGTAGTCGGGATAGATAGGGTAGAATGGATTGAGAAATATTGTGAAGGGGGAATCAATAGAACTTTAAGTGTG